TAAATACTGATCTACTACCTGAGCCCCATAGATTGCCCAGGCCTCCTTACTGAAACCCAAATTTAGGGGGTCTGGATAAGTCCCATGCTGACCTCTCAGCCATCAGTCTGGGGTCCATGAGCTCCCCCTTGTTCAGGTCAGCTGTTTCTGTGGGTTTCACCCACCTGGTCTTGACCCCTTTGCTCATCACTCCTCCCTCTCTGCAACTGGGTTCCAGGAGATCAGTTCAGGGTTAAGCTGTGGGTGTCTGCCTCTGCTTCCATCAGCTACTGGATGAAGGCTCTAGGATGGCATATAAGGTAGTCATCAATCTCATTATGGGGGGAGGGCATTTAAGTAGAGTCTCCACTATTGCTTAGATTGTCAGTTGGCGTCATCCTTGTAGATCTCTGGAAATCCCACTAGTGCCAGATCTCTCCTCAAACTTGTAATGACTGCTTCTATTAAGGTATCTCTCATCCTTCTCTCTATTCATCCCCTGACTCAACCTTCCTGCTCTCTCCTGTCCTCCTCTTCCCTCCTCTTCTCCCTCTTTCTCCCAGCTCCCTCTTCCCTACCCTCATGCTCCCAATCCACTCAGGAGACTGGTGCATCTTCTTGACTGATGATTGGTGTGGGTGGGCCCATCCCACAGAGGCCCATCTCAATCCCAGGCGGTGGTCCTGAGTGCTATAAGAAAACAGGCTGAGCAAGCCATGAGGAGCAAGCCGCTAAGCAGCACTCCTCCGTGGTCTCAGCTTCAGTTCTTGCATTGACTTCTCAGTGACTGCTACCTGGAACTCTAAGCAGAGCTAAACACTTTCTTCCCCATAGCTTTTGGCTATGGTGTTTTATCTCAGTACTAGAAACCTAAAATACTCTCTGTCTGCATGAGAATGTTTTTCTGAGGAGCTGAAAGATGCAAACTTCACACCAGAGTCAGAAGTATGGGACCACTTTTCTGTCCATGCTTCCTCTGCAACGCTGAGGGCAATGTGCTCATCTTGCTCCAATGCAAGCATGTCTCAGACACTGAAGGCAAGATGGTGTTTCTTTCATTATTGTTGGGAAAGGAAGATGAAAATAACACTGTGCGCTAGTTTGGAAAGAGTTTGTGATGTAAGTTCAGTTTCTCCTGAAGTGTACACTGCTTTGAAGCCATTGAGCATTTCATTTGAAAGTTGACTGAGACACGGGTCTCTTTCAATATCTTCGTGTTACCTGTAGCACACTGTAGCTGGACAAACAGGCAGATAGGTCTATAATATCAGCATTCAAGTGATTAAAAAGAAATAAAGCACCGCCAGATGTTGGTTTGGAACAATCCGTAGGACACATTGGAAGCAACACTGATTCTGCAACTGGAAATTGGAATTGATCATTACTGGGCACTAAATGTGCGTATGTTTTTCTGAAGTTCCTAAATCTATTTAATTTCTGTGTTGACAGAGATATTAGACAGCTGTTTGAAAATCTGTCTCTCTTTCCTGAGCTATGCACAAGAAGTCTTTATGTTAAGCCACAGGAATGTCAATGAGGGCCCTTCAGTTAGCGAATCAGCTGCAAACGGAAGGCACGGCTGGACGTGGTAACCTTAACTTACATTCTCAACAGTCCTGATGGCCCCACATGCGCCCCTCCAAGACATGGCTGTGGGAGGCAATGCCCCCCAAGTGTTGCAGTGCAATGCCAGCTTGGGTGATTAGAGTCACAGACGATGAGTTAGGAGGTGCGTTTGCTGAAAATGGCTTCACAGTGACTTGCTGTGCACCCCAGGGGTACATTCCTGAACCTTCTGCTCTATTACCCTATTACCCATCTCAACCCCATGCACTACCCTCTGAATGGGATCAGATGCTTCTATATTTAAGCCCATGGCAAACTACCACAGGAAGCAGGTGCATGAGAAGAGAAAATTCACTTCATCCCTTCTTTCCAGAGCAGCCAGTGAACTTGTTAATTGGTATCCAAGCTTTACTTAGCATCTCAAAAGCATTTCCATAGCCTAACATAGGAAGCAAAAAACCATTTTATGACGATAGTGGTCTTTTTAGTATGATCTATAAAGACTGGAGTGGGGGTGGAGATTAAGCATGTATGTCTTACAGCAGGGGAGTAGTTACATAAATTCTGTCAAATTCTGGCCAGGCATGACAGTCCATACCTAGCGCTCTTGAGGTAGAGGCCAGAGAATCAGTTCAAGGTCATTCTGGGCTGTATATCAAGCTCTAGGTTTCTCTGGGCCAGAGGAAGTCTTTGCTAATTCCTTGAGCCTGACCAGGGAAAGGCTTTGCTGTTTTTCCTGGGTCTGAGGTATGGGAGCTCTTGACGTGGTTATGCCCATGTCAAAACACACACCCGCTCAGGATTTCCTCCACTCTTCACGTGTTCGCTCAGCTGCCTCCACGTCCCACAGCTGGCACATTAGGAAGGAATTTGATGAGATGGATTTCTTAGGTCTGTTAGGCACTCAGAATTCCCAGACTGGCACAACCAGCGAATGGTCCCCCTACATGGGGAACAACCTACAGCCACCTACCTGCCACTATCTCCTGGTTATTTATCATGTGTCAAGATCTATGCCCAGCCATACTGATACCTCATCTATTGATGCTGTGTTGTCAAAGCCGTTGTTACTGCCCGGTGAGTGCTGTGCTCTGTAGTTGTTTGTGGCTATTACTAATATCCTGTCATCTCATTATGTGATCTGAGTGACACTGTCTTCTCACTGCTAATGAGAGACTAAGTTCAGAACCTGCTCAAGCAGGTTCTTAGTGGCAGAAACACAGCGACAATACAATTGCCAGAGGCTTTGGGATACTCAGTCTGCACCACCTTAAGTCTTGCCTTGTTCTGCAGGCCCAGGGAAAGTTTCTTAGAAGGTGGCTTTGTAAGAAAGAAATCACAACAAACGTGGCCAGAGGCATTTCCGCGATTATCTCCCAGTAGGATGCGCTTGAACTTGATATCCATTTCTGAGACTCTCTGTCCTCTGGGGGAGGAAAAAAGGTCAATGCATGCCAAGAATTAGTAGGATCCCAGTTATGTTTGATCATGGGATGGGTGGAGAATTACCAGACACTTACCATGTTCGACTTTGGTCATAAAAACAACATATGCTCTTTTCTTGCTACTTTTTTGTAGTTAGTGGCTTAGCAGGTGTGTTGATTTTGTGCCTGGCCCTTTGCTGCTGCCTTGCAATGCCTCATTTCATCCTCCAGCAACACGGCGGCTCCTGCTCCCATTGCATGGGCAGGAAACAGACAGGCAAGCAATGTGGATGTGGCGCTCTCTAACATGGATGTGGTGGTCTAACGTGGATGTGGCAGTCTATCGTGGATTTGACCCTCTAATGTGGATGTGACACTCTAACATGGATATGACACTCTAACGTGGATGTGGCACTCTAACGTGGATGTGATGCTCTAACGTGGATGTGGCGCTCTAACGTGGATGTGGCGCTCTAACGTGGATGTGGCGCTCTAATGTGGATGTGGTGCTCTAACGTGGATGTGGCGCTCTAACGTGGATGTGGCGCTCTAACATGTGTGTGGCACTGCAGTTAAGTAATAGGGAAGGAAAACAAGAAATCTTTCTTCATAGTTATAGAGATCGTAAATCCATGACCAAGGATCATCTGTGGCCATGAGCTCTGGAGCTTCGGTCGCTCAACACAATGATTGCATTGTGGAGGCCATAGAAACAGCAAAAGAGTGTCAGGAGCATTGGAAGAACTTTGAGACAAGTTCACTTAGCAGGCCCAGGTTAAGTACTCTACTCATTCTCTTCGATGAGGAAGCAGCAGGGCCTGGTAGCACATGGCTGTCATTCAAGCACTTTGGAGGCAGAGGCAAGCAAATCAGAAGTTCAGGGTTATCCTCAGCTACATATTCTGGTGTCAGCCTGGGCAACTTGAGACCCCATCCCAAAACAACAACAACAACAAAAAAGTAGCAAGGCCAAGTCACAGGCCGACCTGTGACAAAGAAGGCACAGGTAAATGGCCACATACTGCAAGAAGAGAGTAGGCGGCTGCATCAGCTTTCTGTGCCTGGACTCAAAACCCCATCCTTTGCTGAAAAGCTGTGTGACTTTGAGCAGGTTACTTGCCTCTCTGTGTCTCAGATTCCTCAACTGTACAATGCAGTTGACGACCAACCTGGCCTTCACTGGGTGGTTAAGACTTGTTGAGGTCACGCGTACATGAAGACAAGCACTGGTGAGAGCCGAGGGTCTTGAGAATTGTGACTGGAGCATAGGCGGAGAATCAGGGCAGACGCGATGAGAGTGTGCAGAGACATTACGGAGGTCCAAGGTGATGGCTCCTTAGCGCTTCTGCAGGCAACTCAGGCATGCCTACAGTCAAACAAGAAGGCACTGCGATGCAGTGTCTACCCCGGAGAAATGGTCCCAGCATAGGGGAAGCAAGGTTGGCAGTGGCTGTGCAGGGGCCACATCCCAGCAGGCAGGGGCTCCCTAGGAAGTGGCCCAGGTCTAGCAGCCCCTCCCTCCAACCTCGGGAAGTGTCACAGTCGCTGGTCTTCTTCTGTCCCGGGAAGGTGAGCTGAACATGAATAAAGCTGAAGATCAAAGGAGACATTTTGAGAAAGGCGATGCTGAGGAGTGGCCAGTAAAGCAGGAAGGGAAGGCAACTTGCCTCAGAGGCAACAGTAACTGCTGGTGTCTTGGTGTCCAGTTAGCTTGCTTTTTTAATACTAAGTCTGACTACAAAGCATGAACCAGCACTGGTTACCCATAGGTTAGAGGCTGACCTTGAACCCACAAATTGTGACCAGAGCCTAGTATTCTGGGATGAAACCAACCAGCCAATAGCTAACGTTTTGTGCTTCAGGGATAGGGTGAGCTAGCTCTCCTACTTGGGAAACTTAAAAATCCACCAGCATGTGCAATCACAAAAGATGCAGAAACCCACTGCAAATTAAGACTACAGAATATAAAAGGTGAAAAAATGAAGCCTGGGACCAAAGATAAAGTGGGTGGAAGGTATTCAGAGTCTGGGCTGCATTGGAAAAGCAAGGCCTTTATTCTCCTAAAGAAGCATTTATAAGGCTTTTTCAGCTGCTGCATAGTGGAAGACAGGCAATTAAACACTCAGTATAGATGTGTGGGAAGATATAAGATACATCCTCACTCATTTATTGAGTAAATACTAATTGAATGCCTTCCACGGCGTAAACAAGGGTGCAGAGATTGAAGCACGCAAATGGAAATGCCAAGACCGTGAACGTTTGCTCGTCATGAAGAAATCCAAAGAGATGGCAATTTCCCGAGGTGGTGTCTTCTATGGACACAGCAGTGCACATGAAATATGAGCGGAGCCTGGGAAAGGAAATTGAAGGAGAATAATTAAAAATAAACCTATAATCCAAGTGTTGAAAAATCATCTGTAAGAACAAAGTACCCCTACCAACAACAGAAGGTGGGTGCAACGGACAGATCTGCTGTGTAAAATGGAGGGAAACATTAATTTGATGTGATTAAAGCAAGATAAATGTAAAAGGTCCCACAAGATGACTCTTCCCACACATCTGATGGTCTGTCCTCTGACCCAGAGAGCAGGACACTTTGTCACTTCTGAGCAGGTGAAGAAGTCAGGAGGATTAGATAGATGGGTCATTTCATCATGAAAAGGAGGAGTCATGGGAACAAAAAATCCTGCAGTGTCTAGTGCCCATGCTACCAACAGAAATGTGATTTTAGTGTGTGTATGTGGTGTGTGTGTGAATGTGTGTGTGTGTGTTCCAAAGTTGAACTGGGAACCAACCAAGCAGTTAGCAGCAAGTCTTAAATTATAGGGATGCCAAACCAGGTCGGGATACCTTGAGCTGGAATGAGAGGTCCAACTCATCCCAAGGAAAATAGTGTAGGTTGAAGAAAAAAAACCAAAATTTTAGGACAACAAAACACAGTGCTGTGTGTTTTGTAGGAAGGGCAGCTTGGGGAACTCTCTGGGTTTGATTGTACTGCATAAGTTTGGGTGAGGATTCAAAGGACGAGCAGAATTTCTCAGAACAGTAGTGAATCACATCCAAAGTTGGCCACTGGGAAATTCTCTCACTTTCCAGGAATGGCATGGGCTCCCTATTTCCTCTGCCTGAGGAGAAGAAGAAATGTTTGAAGAAATGACCGCATTGAGGCTGCCCTGGGTGTGTGCATCTTGCTGCAGTCACACAATGTTGGGGAGCCCTGGCTAGAGGATACTCCAAGTGCCCATGTCTACATAGGTTTTCTCTATTCTCTCCAGGGTGTGTGCACGCACAGACACACACACACACACACACACACACACACACACACACACACACACACCAGCAACCTTTCTAGTCTGGAACATGTGAGAGGTTAGCTTCTAAAGACATTTTAATTGGCCGGCTCTCCTTGTCTTTGAAGGGGTTCAGACAAGGACTGAAGGGAATGATGACTTAAGCAGCAGAGATTTCAAGCAGGGTTCGTCTTTTGCAGCTTGCAAAGTGTAGTACACTATCCTCCCAGCCATATTGGCACCCATCTTTGAAAGTTTTGCTGGCCTGTTGGAAAAAGGTCACCATGGCTGGGATGCTTGGCTACTTACCTTCCTTGCTAGAAGGAGAATTCAGTAGAGTTATGGTTGAGCATCTAACCAGACCTCCCAACAATTTGTAAGGAATTCTGCCCTGACTGAAGATGGCCTTGGAGGAGAGACTAGAGGATACAGATGGGGAAAAATAAGGACAGGGAGCTTCATCTACACAGCCACGGAGAGGCCATCATCCCTGGTGGGTGCAGACTTTCAGTGACTGCTCTAGAGTCACCCATGTTCCTGTCCATATCCTCTCACTTGGTCTCTAAGTAAACCTAATAAACTCATTGATTCTCCCCATGTGACCTTTGACAGAATCACACCTCAGTTGACCATCTTTGGAGGAGGGATAGACATTGTTTATGTCTCTCCCAGGGAAGGAATTCTAGCAACAGAAGGTCCTGCAAATGTGCATAGGCAGGTTCTTCCTCTGGAGAGCAAGAGGAGGTTTCTAGGGATGGCCTTAGTCCCCATGCCTTCCTATCCCAGCTGGAACAGCTAAGTTCTTTACTACAGACTGAGGGCACTTGTAGGAATAGCCCCAGTCTAGAACTGAGCGGAAGCCACAATGTGGCTTCTAGGAAGAGAATGAACTCAGATATGGTGAATCTGCTTGGTTTCCTGCTTCCTCACAAGCAGCAGAAGGTAGGCTCATTATTGCAAAGCAAATCTCATTGCCTGCTTCCTGAGGACATTGTGGCGATTAAATGAGATAAAGGCTTATAGTAGGAGCTTGATAAATGCGTGATGACAGACATTATAGAAACCCGGCAAGTATGTGTTCCCTTCATTTGACCTTTTTTCTGGAGTTGAAATTTTTGATTACTTGCCTTACCCTGTGTGAGAATTTGTCTTTTTTCCCCTTAAGTCCTTTTAAAAATAATACTTTTATTAAGTTTTTGAGAATTCCATATGTGTATACAATGTAATTTGATCATGCTCACTCCCAGCTCCTTACCTAACTCCTTCCTGACCTACCCCTCCCAAATCCGTGTTCTCTCTCTGTCTCTCTCTCATCTCTCTCTCTGTCTCTCTCTCATGCCCACATGCACACTCAGTTTGTGCTGCCCACGTGCTTATGGTGTGGATCCATTCACTGGAGCAGTCAACCTCTCAGAGGCCACACCCTTAAAGAACTCTCTCTTCTCCAGAAGTCATCAGCTGTCAATAGCTCTTCAGCTATGGACAGAGGTTCCTAAGCCACTCCGTGTCTGTGTCCGAGGAGGAATGTTGGCCGGCTTCATCTAGTACGAGTGTTATGCAGGCTGTGAAGTCAGGAGCGTAGTGGTCTCATCGTGTTCAGAAGATCCTGTTTCAGTCTGGTCCTCCCGGCCTCTGGCTCGTACAGTCTTTCTGCCCTCTCTTCCATGATGGTCTCTGAGCCTTGCAGGAGGGATGTGGTATAGATGTCCCATTTGTGACTGAGTACTCCATGGACAATTGTTAGCTGCACTTGGACCAGGTATGAGTTTCTACATTAACTGCTGTACACTGTGCAAAGAACCTTCACTAATCTATGAGTAGAGAGACAGGAATTTAGAGGGTGGTTTGGGACTAGGTCCTTTTAGCAAAATAATAGTAGCAACTTCACCCTTGGGTCTATGAGTGCCCCCCAAAATGGTTTCCTGTGGAGTGGGCCTTAAATCCAATCAGAAAGCAGTTGGTTACCCCCATAACATTTCTGCAACTGTTGCACCCCTGGGCCTGTCTTGCCATGCTGCTGGTTATCGCTGCTCTCAAGGCTCTCAGCTGGCTTAGAGTATTGGTGAACTCTCTCATCCAGCATCCAGAATAGCACCATGGTATCATGTAAGCTAGGTAGCATGAAGGAAGTTTCCTGAGCAATACCAACTTGATTTCTCCATGTCCTGTCATCCGAATATGTGATGATTCAGCAATAGGGTCTTGCCATCGGGCTCTGGTCAGAAACCAAGGACAAGAGCAACAGCCAGTATTTTTTATGGGTCCCTGGAACACCCCGACAGACAGCTTGAGAGATGGTGGTACCCCACACCAGACACTGGACAGCTTTTGACTTCTGGGAGGAGCATTATCACCTGTGCAGGGTAACTCCAATCAAACTGTCGTGTGTGTGTGTGTGTGTGTGTGTGTGTGTGTGTGTGTGTGTGTGTGTGTAAAACAGCTATATTTCCATTTTTTTCAAATAGCCTTGGTGTTGGTTACCCACCTTTTCCTTTGGCCTACCCTTCCATCCTTTTCCCCACCTAAGCTATCTTTCCACCCATTCCCACCCCACTGGTATCACCTCTTCTCTAATATCCCCCGTTCCTGGAGATCTTTCTTCCCCCTTCCCAATCCCAGTGGTCCATCTCTAGTTTCCTTGATTCTACAGGTTCTCCATGTTAAACACACAACTGTAAAGATCTGGTGTTAGCATCCACACATGAGTAAGAAAGTGTAACATTTGTCTTTCTGGGTCTGTGTTACTCTACTCAGTATAGCGTTTTCCAGCTCCATTCATTTGCCTTCAAATTTCATTTTTCATTACACCATAATAAAACTCCACTGCGTCTGGGTACAACATTTTTATTTTCCATTTATCGGTTGATGAACACCTGGTTTGTTTCCATAGCTTAGCTGTTGTGTCTAGGACAGGAATCAACATGAAAGTAATTTGTCAATGGCTTAAATGATAATGCTCCCCTCAAGAGCCATAGACTAGCAAACCCCAGTACCAAGCAAGGGAAACCCCACTTTGAGTTGTTCATCAGGGAAGTTCAAGAGACCCCACAATATATAGTTATTGTGACTGTCCTTGGTTGCCTTCCAGAACTTGAAGGTAAGGCCCTGTTGTTGAAGACACCACACATTTTAGACACAGGATTTAGAGGAATCAAGCTCAAACCAACCTGGATACCTCCTCCCTGAGCCTTAGTTATGCAAGTTGCCAAGGGGAAAGGTGATTACAAGCCCTACCTGACTGTAAAACTCATGAACCACAGCAATGTTCAGCAAAGCAAGACGCACCAGAGCATCCGATAACGATGCATAGCTCAGGGGTAACCAATAGCGACAGTGACACATAGCTTAGAGGTAACCAATGGCAATAATGACACATAGCTAAGGGGTAACCAATAGTCATCTAATTGGACTTAAGGCCCGCTCGGTGGGAGGGAGGCCTTGTCTGTTACTGTAAGCCTAGGCTCCCATCCGTGGCTGGTGATATCATTGGCTCTAGAGGAGAACCTATTACCACCATTTTCCTAAACTAGTGTTTTCCAACTGTATCCTAGTACCTATTCTTATATCAACTCTTACCTCTCCTCAAAGAAGCTTCTTTTGGCAGCAGACAGAGACCACCACAGAAATGCACAGCTGGTCACAATGCAGATAAGAACTATCTACGTAAGACAACCACCTACAACTGAGGCATCTACAACATGACCCCTACAACCGAGGCTCAGGGAACACCACAAAAGTGGGGGTGGAAAGATTGCAAGAGCCAGAGGACCAAGGCATGACAGGGATTTAGTTACATCCATGAAATCTTAACCATGTGGTCACCTAAACAAGACCCTCACAATAAAAGCACTAACTGACATACCAACATGAATGGGGGAAAAATGTCATAAAGCCCTATCCCTAGATAAAGCAATAGAGGCGATTAATGGCTGTTAAGAGAGGGAGAGTCAGTCTCTTTCAGGGATGAGCCTCTAATAAGTTATCTGACCCCCAAGTGGTCATCTATAAACACATATACATCTAAGCAACACTAAATAGATAGCAAGTTGTATTTATA